GCGAGCCCGGCCCGAGGGCCCCCTCCGGCACAGAGGAGCAGCAGCAGCATCGCCCCGGCTCCCCGTCCCCTCCGTCCCCCCCCAGCTCCCCGTCCCCTCCGTCCCCCCCGGCGCGGTGTTTCGGGGAGCGGGGCGCAGGCCGGGAGCTGGCGTGGAGCTGGCGATGCTGCGCGCCGTGACAGCATGAAGCGGTTCCTCTCCCCACGCCGGGGCATGCGCGGAGCCGGGGCTGAGCACGGCCGGCTGCCGGCGAGGGGTCGCGGGGGGCTGAGCACCAGAGTCACCCCCGTGTCCCCCCGCCCTGGCCTCGGGAGCAGCCGAGGGTGCTTTTGGTCCCGGCTCTTTCGTGCCCAGCTGCTCCGCAGGGGTTTGGAGAGCCGTTCCCCAAAACTCACCTGCCGAGCCGTCGCGTCGGCAGACGCTCGCTCCCGCGCCCGGCGTGAGCATCGTCAGTTTGTGCTGCTCTAATTGGCACAATTTTGGTGCCGAAAACAAGGCAGGAGGAGGGGAGGGAGCGACGGGGACCACTGGCCTTTAACGGGTCTCGTGTTGGCAACTTTGCTGCCCGCCGTAACGCGGTGGCGTGGTGAGATTTTGACATAGAACTGCTGCACGTTTGCAGTCAAACTTTGGTCCTTCCTTACGGCGTTTGATTTGAAGCGTGGCACGGAGATCTCTTCATGTCTGCGTTACCTTCTGGCTGCCGGCGCTTTGTGTTTGGGGCTGATTTATTGGCCTTTGGAAGCCGTGATTTGGCGGCTGCGCAGGGGCGTCGCGGGCTTTGCCGCCGGCGCCTCGGGACAGCGCAGATAACGCTGCCGGCACGCCTGCACCCTCCTACTGCCAGCCTTAACTAATTCTGTTAAGGTGCTTCAAAAGAATCTCTCGGATGGGCTGGGACCACGCTTGGCAGGGATGGGTTTGGGTTTCGGTCCCGCTGGCGGCGCGGGGGTCCCTGGGGCGGTGGGGGCTGCGCTGGGAACGGGGCTCTGGTGCTGCGCTCTTGGGAGTTTCCCCTTTCCTCCCCAAATCTGGCTGGGGGACGTCTGCTCCCGCCTGGGTCACCTCGCCTGCAGGGGAGACGTTTACCCCGTGTGGCAGGAGCTGCTGCGGATCCCGCCCTGCCTTAGCATCCCTTTCCCTGCCGACAGACCCCGGGTACAGGGCTGAGCCTCGCGTACGAGCTCTGATGATGCCGGGCTGCGACCTGTCAAAGTAATAAAGCAGAAACCCAGCGTGTGCCTGGATGTGCCCAAAGCGAAGATGCCTGGAAAGGCGGCGGCAGAACCTGGGACATCTTCTGACTCGCAGGCACTGCTCGGGGAGGCACAAGTGCACTAGTTTTAAAAACTGAAGTTGTTTTCCCCTCAACTTTTAGTTTTCTTTGTCCCTCACAAACTTCCTAAACGCTGTTAATCTTAACCGTTGTCTTCCTGTGCTAAACCCTGCAAAACCCCCAAAGCCGTTCCGTCTGTTGGATCTCTTTATCTTCAGGAAACATGAAATCGCGTGTGCCTGTTTCTGGGACAGGATTACATCAAGAAACAAAGCTGGGAGAAGCACCTTGCCTGGAGACACAGCACGTATGATTTATCTCTAAACACTTTCTGCAGCCTCTCTCTAAACCCTGGGAAGAACAAAACGGAGACAAGTTATTAAGATGGCAGACGTTAAAAGGAAGCCAAATCAGGCAGAAAAGCGCTGCGCTTTGGCGGGGTGATCAGTGGCGGAGCTGCCTGCGGGTTTGAACCTCCTCACCGGGAGCCCCTGGCCGGTGGCTCTGCGGGGCTGCCCGTGGCACGGCGCACCCGGCACAGGGACGCAGAGAGGAGCCGGCGTCGCCTTTGTCCTGTCCCCTCCGGCGCTGGGGGCTGCCTTTGTCTGCTGCTTCCAGCTCTGCGCGTCCCTGGCCGCTGCCTGGGAAGTCTGCGGGAGCGGCGTGAGACCCTGCGGGGCAGGCGGGAGCGATGTCAGCCTTTGCCCGGTCCAGGTGCTGTTAGTGGGGACCCCAGGCTTGTGGTGTGGGGTTGCACAGTCCGGACGAGCTGCCGGTGCGTTCAGCAGAGGTGGTGGCACTCATGGTGCTGCGAGCTTCTCACACCCCATCAGAGGGACCAAAAAAGGGGACACGGAGCTGCTGGGCAGCCAGGCCTGGCTCAGCAAGACCCTTGTGGGTCGGCTCATGCCACCACGGGTCGAGCTGCGTCCGTGCTGCTGGCATCACCGCACCATGCCGCTCTCCTTGGAGCCGAAGCAGCTGGTTCGCAGTCCCTGTGAAGGGCGCGATGGAGGTGGCGATGCTCTTGCTGCTGTTTGTTACGCTCCGTCGTAGCATCCGCAGGTTCGCTCTCTGGCCCAGCCCGGGCTGCGGGACTGTGCACGCCAGGGTGCGGGGGCACCGGCCGTGGCTGCAGCGGCATCAGGGCAGATTTTTAACTTGACGCTTTCGAGTTCGTTGCTCTTGATTTCCAAGCGGAAAGCTGAGGTTTGACACGGCACAACGATGCCCTTTGCAGCGTTTGGCGTCGAGGATACAAAGAACTAAACTGCTTTCAGAAGTAAATACCGTAGTAGAACAGATTAGAGCCCGTTTTGGTGCATTTCTTGGATGCAGCCACCACAACACGGGGCAGGAGGGGTGCTTGGGCAGCTCCGACTTTCCCTTGGAAGATGGGCTCTGGTGCATGGGATGGGTTTAATGCTGCGTGGCGACGGCTGCAGCCGGAGCTCTCTGCCCCGCATGGGCATGGTCTACTTAAACTCAGTTTAGTGTCGAACCTAAAAGCGCCTGCAGCTGCATGAACCTGGTTGTGCTCACGGCAACTCGGGAAGGAGCAGGCAGCGGGTGCGACGTCTGGGTTGGCAGAGATGAGATGGTGCTTTTTGAAGTCCAGGCTTTGTGGGATGACGTTGGTCACTGCTTAGAGCTGGTGGTTTTGAAGATGTTGAGCTCGGAGAATGGGAAAGCCAGTTGCTTGCCCCGCCAGCAGTTGCCTTTCCTGCTGGCACTGCCGCTTGCTTTGCCTCCCGACGGGGGATTTTCACTTCCCTGGGGGGTTTCTGGGGCTGGTTTAGGGTGGGAGATGACTCAGGGTGAGGATGGACCACACCGTATGTCCGGTGACGTTTGGCGTGACGTTTGGCATGCCGCGGCCCTGCTTGCTCCTCTCCGATTCCCAGGTGTATTTTGGCGGGGCCGGGGGTGCGGGGGGGGGGCTGTCGCGGCCCTGCTGCCACTGTGAAAAAACTCCCTTTTGTCTCAGCCCTGTTCCAGTGGCCCCTTGGCTGAATGCGGCGCTGGAGAGGATTTAAATGACATGGTAATTTCGTGCCGTCCCACCGGCGGCTTTGCCCGGGTGCAGGCAGCTGTTGGGCAGTGGGTCGTGTTCCCCAGCTGTTACAATAAATAATAGAAACAAAGCGTATTCCGGTGCTCATTACCCCAAACAGACTTTCACCTTGGCGGTGCTGCCCTCGCCATCGTCTCTGCCCGCCGGTGCTTCGCGCGCACCCGGCACAGGGGTGGCAGTGGCGGCTTACCGGCAGTGGCGGTGATGCTCCCGCCGCCGGCACGTCCCCAGGGCACGGCTTTTGTGTGCGAAAGTCTGTGATTCCTCCTGGGCGCTGAATTTATAATGGCAGGCGGATTTCATCCCGCTCACTGGCTGCATTGTGCTGCAGGAACAACACTCGCCCTCCAGCCCCCGGCCCCGGGCGCCCGCATTTACATGACAAAGTGGGAGCCTGTGCAGCTTCACCATGGAGAGTTGAGGTATGCAGAAGCCCCCCTGTCTTCGGGCAGTTTGGGGCGCTTTTTAACGAGGCTCCTTCTGCCGAAGGGGAGCCGGCACGTTTCGCCGCTGGCCCCTTTTCTGCTGCTCCGAGCTGCAGACGGGGGCCGCAGGCACGAGCTGCCCGGGAATGCCACGTCGCGCTGCCCGGGGTTCCCTGGCACAGCGTCCTCCGAGCCAGGCGGAGGGCGGCTTTCGGGAGGATTTGCACCGAGGCAAATCGTGGGGGGACCCTGAGCGCCCCGGGGCAGGGATGTGGCGTGGGAAGGGGTGAGCCCAGCCTGCATGTTCACCAAAGGGCTTTGGGGTCTCTCCTACCTGGGCTGAAGCAGCCAAGGGCAGGTGAGAGCCCATCTCCCCGATGTCACCATTCTTATAAACAGCCATGTCCCGGGTAGGCACCACTGCACCAGGCTGTGTGCAGGCACTGGGAGATCATGGCTTTTTAAAAATCTTTGGATCTCAAAGTAATTTAGAAAGGAAGAGTCATTATCGCTCCCTGCTTTGCTGGGCAAGCTCCACGCGGGCAGCATGACCCCTGCGTTGAGCCTGGGGCTGGGCTGCCGGGGTGGCTGCTCCGGCTCGTCGCGTTCAAGGACCGTGTGTGTGTCTGTGGTCGCCAAAATAAAACCCTCTGAGTCGGCCCAGGGGTGAATTTTCCCATCCTTGGCGCTGGTCTTGTGTCCTGCCCTGGTCTTTGCAGAGCATCTCCCTGCTGTCACGGTGCTGCTCCCTCCAGCCAGGCTGCCCGGTTACGTTATCTTGCGTTTGCAGTATCCTGTGGCTTGCATCAAACTCCTGAGCCGACTTTTGTGTTGCTGGAGGCTGAATCCTTCATCAGTGATTCATAATCTTAATTGCAAGGGTTCACGTTCATAAAGCATCTGGCGAGAGGGTTTGTATGGCAAAGCATTATTTTCGGGCTGGCTGGTGCAGCGCCGGGATTGCGGGACAGGTTTGGGACCATTCGGTCGCCCCTCTGCAGTGCGGCTGCTGCCCTGTGTCCCCTGCATCCGCAGGGATGCCATGGGCACGTGGAGATGCTGTCCTGCTCACACACGGCTGCTGGGATCATCTCAGGGGTGAGAAGGTCCAGAAGAGGAGAAACTGTGGGTGCCGGCCTTGATGTGGTTGCAGGGAAGGGAGCGGAGAGCTGCTGTCCTCCGGCAGGTCTTGCAAGCGGGCTGTGCGGTTGGTTTCTCACTCGAAAGGCAGAGCAGGGACCGGAGGCTCCAGCAGCACTGGCAAATACCTCTTTGATTGTGAACCATGATTTAAAAATGCATCAGCTTGCAGCCAGGGAGCTGGCGATTGCCAAGAAATGTTCGTCATGTGGAGACATGAATTACACCGCGAGTAGCTCATCTGAAAATCAGTTTCTTAAAACAAGCTGCCCCTGGAGCGCGGCGCAGCCGTTTGTCTCGGGGGTGCTGGCGGCCGCCCTGCCCCAGCGCAGCTGCGAGTGCCTGTGGGGGTCTGAGCCCCGCGTCGGCCTCGGAGGTCCCCATCTTGCTCGTTGGACTGCTCGGAGTCGCATGCTGCCGTGTCCGAGGAGGCGCTGGAGCTGGGTTAGCCCCAGGCTTGGGGCTCCCAGCAGATTTTGGAGCTCCTGGGCTCCTGCCACCGGGCAGAAGCAAGAGCAGAGGCTGGCTTTGCAGAAGTTAATGCCAGAGTTTGGTCCTTGGATGCTCTCAAGGGTCGTCCTGTCCCCTCGGTGTCCTGCGGCATGGTGGCCTTCCATCGGCAGGAAAAGTCTTGCAGGGATCAGGTGCAAAACTGAAGTTTGCTGCTCTTCCATTTTTCTGCTTCTGATATTTTTAGCCTGGAATTGAAATTTGGATTTAAAAAGAAAGTGGATGGGAGCAAAGGGTGCTAAGAGCACCATGTGTTCAGGAGCCGAAATTGGAGCCGGGACGCTGTTTGGGGGCTGGCTTGGACAGTTGGCCACCCAGATGGAGCGCTCCAAATATCCACACGCTGCGCTCCCCGCACCCGGCCCAGCTGGCCGGGACCTCGCGGGGTTCGAGGAACAGATAGAAGATGCAAACTGGGATAGGTGGAGATGGGCAAAGTGGGAAAGGGGCAGGAAGGGCAGATCTCGACTCGGAGAGCAGCGGTGTTGAATGCTTCTTTGGCAATATTTTAAGATGCCTTTGAGTCCAAGGGCACTGTCAGTTTAAAAACGCAGTTCAGTCCTGTGGCCGTGCTCTGGTACCCATTCCTCCATCTCCAGACCTTCATTACTAAGTCTATAATGGGCTTTGTGGAAAAACTGGTACTGCCCTCTTTATGGGTTTGGGGCCCACGCTGCTTGAAGTGGGGATTTGGGACTGGTTTTTTTTTGCTACCTCCCATAATTCATAGGAGTTTTTCATCAAACTGTTTTTCATTTTCTCTGTTTTTTTATCAACAACTTCCCTGGAGGTAGCCTTCCTCGTCGATGTGTCTTTTTTTTCTTTGCTGAACAGCAGTTGAGGATTACATTGAGGAGGGGTTAAGGATGAAAGGAAAGTTCAGGTGCTGGGACTTGGGTTATCCTGCGACCTGGACTTCGAAAGGTGATCGTTAATAACTGGTATAAAACCAAAGCAAGCTGTTATCCTGCAAAATCTAGCAGTTAAATAATCGCCTAGCGCAGATGCAATAACGTGTTTCCTGTTTCTTGTGGCATCCTCCCTCCGGCAGCGAGTCGGAATTTGCTGGAGGATGGAGGGGAAAACGTGCGTGTCTGCAGGTCCCCACCGGTGGAGTTTTGGGGGGGTTGCATCCCCCTGGAGAGGGGCAGACCTGCAGCTCCGTGCCAGTGGAGCCGGTGCTGCTCTCCCGTCGGAGGCGGCAGATGCCATTGCCTGTGCAAGCAGCCCTGGCTGTGCCACGTGAGCCGGCGGGGAGGGAGGCGGTGGGGCTGCTGCCGGCTCCTCGGCCCCTCGCCTCCAGCAGAAGGCCTGGGCGTCTCAGCGGGGCCATATTTCTCTCCCCGGAGCAGACGTGGTCCCTCGCCTCCTCCCGCCGGGCAGAGCCTCCCCATTGTGCTGGTGCTGGCTTGTAAATCAGCGGGGCAGGGGCTGGCCTGGCCGCGGGACAAAGGCTGCCTGTGCTGCCGGGGCATCCCGCCTGCGCTCCCCACAGCAGGACCACCCCAGCCCTGGCGCGGGGGCAGAGGGTGCCTGCAAACCCGTTCCCTGCCAAAACTGACCCCGGGTATGCGACGAACTGAAGAGCGATGTATTTGCAGGCAAATGCGCAGAGGAGGGGGTAGAGTGTATCCACCAGCCACAGCTGGCAGATGGAGCTGGCGAGACCGCTCTGTTCGTGGCAAAGCCCCTTGGCAGCGTTAGATGGGTGCGTTCTTCTTTGGGGTTCCCATTTCTCCTCACCCCGCAACCCAGCAAGTCTGGCGCCGCCTCCTGCTCGGCGCTGGGGAGCTGTCAGACCTGGGCTATTTTTGGAGCTGCCCTTACAACAAAGCGCTCTGCGTGCCGGAGCCCAATGTGGGTCGGCTTTGATGTCGCCGTCGCTGCCGTGCAGCGGGGCAGGCGATGCTTGGCCTTCTCTGCGCTTGTTGGTTGGCAAACACCCTCCTGCGGGGTGGGATGCTGGGGATGCATGGAGAGATGCCATGGAGAGGGATTCCTCCCATGGGAGCTGGAGAAGGGATGGGCAATAAAAACGCACCGCAGCCCTGGGAGGGCTGGCCTTGGTCTAAGTATATCTTCACTAATTCAGTGTGCCAGTGTCTCAGACGATGGTATCGGACGATGCTAGACCCTTCAGGCGAAGGTTACTGCTGCTGCCGCAGACCCGTGGCAAGCTCTCGGCACAGATATGAGGCTCTACTTTCTTTTTAAAGCCAGGGCTGGAGCGTTTCTTGCCGCTGTTCTGGTTGTTTGCATATTGTGACGTTTCTTGTGTGAAACCGAAGTTGAAGTGCAGCTTGGAGGCGGCATACCGGGCGCTTTCAAAGCTCTTCTCATGTCGACATTAGGTACAACCTGTCCTTCAGTGTCAGGAAAAGCAAGCATGGCCTTCTGTTCCCACATCTGGTCAGGGAATTGAGTTATGGGTATCGTGGTGTACACCAGGACATGGGTGCGCCCGCGGTCGGGACGGGCGGTGGGAATCCCTTGTCCTCCCAAGGTCTGTACTGCTGCCACGCGTGGCCCCAGATGAGTTCCTTTCCCTAAGGCAAAGCAGAGATCATTTATCTGCTGGTGGATGGTTTGACATCGGCACAGCTGGTGGCGGCACAGCGGGGCGGAGGGTTTAGCACTGCCCTTTGACAGCTGGGCTGGCCCCGGCACTTGCCGGACGGTGCCCAGGGAAGCTCCTTCCACCTCGTGCTGTGCTGGTCCGAATTCTGCCACCGCCGCCAGGAGCGTGCATGGGAGGCCTCCCGGTTTGGGATGCGGTGATGGGGAGTGCTGTGACTCTGCATTGTCTGTCTGTCTGCCTGGGCACAGGGTTTCTCCTAGCCCTCCTGACCCGTTTTCTCTCCCCATAGCTGCAGGCGCATACCTGCCACCATTGCAGCAGGTATTTCAAGCGCCGCGTCGGCCCGGGATAGGAACCGTTGGGAAGCCCATCAAGCTCTTGGCCAATTACTTTGAAGTGGACATTCCCAAGATTGATGTGTATCATTATGAAGTGGATATCAAACCTGACAAATGTCCACGCAGAGTCAACAGGTAAGGCAAGTATTAGAGGTTTTGGCACTCATTCCCTGCTTCCAGTTTCCTCATGGAGGCTGCATAAGTGCCTGTCTCCATCTTCACCGGTGGAAGCCATCAGGGTGACTTTGTGGCAGGGCTCACGGTGCTGCTTGGCACCCGTGGGTGGCCAGACCCCGCCAGCCGTGTTCGTGCAGCAGTGCTGGTTCCTGCCCCTGACAGCCTCGGAGGTCCTGAACCTCAGCACGGTCCCCTGCTTCTTCAAAGCAGCTGTGCTATTTTGGCAACAGTCCTGTATTTAAAAATAGCAAGGCCCAGACCTCGGGCCATGGCATACTTTTCTGTGTTTTTCTTTTTGGCATCCTACTCGCTGCCCGTCCCCTCCTGCCCCGGCAGCCTGAGTAGCTCTGTGCCCCAAAGGCCGGTGAGCAGATGCTGCAGATGCTCCCGGCAGCCATGGGCAGTGAGTCGCTCCATCTTGCCCTCCCGGCGCACGCGGCGGGTTTGCAGCCAGCTCCGGCGGGTACACGTTCCTGCATACCGTATAAACTCATTCTGCCGAAGCTGATGTGCCAAGCTGCAGGGCAAGGCGTGTGGCTGATGTCCAGGGGCCCTCCTGCCCGGGGGAGACTTGGCTCTATTCTCTGGTGCCCTGCAGCTCAGAAGTGCCCGGGGTAGGGAGGCTGGGGACCAGGCAGGTCGCAGAAGGTGTTGGGCTGTAAAGAAACCAGCAAAACAAACCTCGCCCTTCTCTCCCCCTGCCCCTCTTTCTTGCCCCGCTCGCCTGTATAGGGAAGTCGTGGAGTACATGGTTCAGCACTTCAAACCGCAGATCTTCGGTGACCGAAAGCCAGTCTATGATGGGAAGAAGAACATCTACACTGTCACGGCTTTGCCTATTGGAAACGAGAGGGTAAGAGGGGGCGGCGAGCCCCGTGCAGGCAGCACACCCTGCCTCCTGCCTGGGAAGGGCCAGCTAAAAGCGACCTCGTCCCCTTGTGCCTGCGGGGATGCCATGACGGCTTCCCTCTCTTCTGCACCCAGGTTGACTTTGAGGTGACGATCCCAGGGGAAGGCAAGGACAGGATATTTAAGGTCTCCATCAAATGGATGGCCATCGTGAGCTGGCGCATGCTGCACGAGGCCCTCGTCAGTGGGCAGATCCCCGTCCCCCTGGAGTCCGTCCAGGCGCTGGATGTTGCCATGAGGCACCTGGCTTCCATGAGGTACCTGTGCCAAAGGGTGGGTGGGCGGCAGGGGCCGTGCTGTGAGCACCGAGCGTGCCGGGGAGGGCACCGGCTGCCCTTGGCAGGCTGCTGTGGCTGGGACTGGCCTTGACGGTCTTTGGGAGGAGGCGGCCGTGCCTGCCGCGCTGCTTGGTGCTATTGCTGTGGATGCTCCTGCCGTAGAAATAAACGGGGCGATGCAGCCAGCGGGGCGAGCGACGGCTTGGAGGGGCTGGGGGTGCTTCACGGTCGCTGCGGGTGGGGCTGGTGTGTGCTGTTTGACGCGGTTTGCCCTGGTTTGTAGGTACACTCCTGTCGGCCGCTCCTTCTTCTCCCCCCCCGAAGGCTACTACCACCCCCTGGGAGGCGGCAGGGAGGTCTGGTTCGGTTTCCACCAGTCGGTCAGGCCCGCCATGTGGAAGATGATGCTCAACATTGATGGTGACGTATTTTTTTATGCCGGCAAAGCCACTTTGCTCTACAGCATGCCCGACGCAGCACGGTCCCGCTTGCTCGTGGTGAGGTCCCAGCACCGCTTCGGGCAGGGGGCTTTGTGCACGGGGTCTGGCCACCCAGCGCTGGTTGCAGTGGGGTGGGGAACTGCAGCAGTGGGGCTGGGTGTGTTGGGGGAGGCTGGATCCAGCAAGCTCTCGGGCCAGAGAGCAGAGACACATGGTGGTATCTGTCCCATAGTGTCAGCCACCGCCTTCTACAAAGCCCAGCCTGTAATCGAGTTCATGTGCGAGGTGCTGGACATCCGGAACATCGACGAGCAGCCGAAGCCCCTGACGGACTCACAGAGAGTGCGTTTCACCAAGGAGATAAAAGGTAGAGCCCCCGGGGAGCGCTGGGGACCCGTCCCCAGCTGGGTGCTGCCCCAGACATCGGCCATGGCTTGTCTGCTGCCCAGCCCCTGCAGCGAGGTGGGGGTATGGGGGGGTGCACATTTAAAATGTCTCCTGGGGCACCATTGCCTCCCTCGTGCGCTTCGCAGGGCACCTGCAAGAATACCTGCTTTGCAAATGGTTAATTATTTAAAGCAGGTGTTGGCGATGTCCCGGGGAAGTTGGGCGAAGGGGAATTGCTCCCGCCTTTACCAGTGACTCTGCGGTGTCTCCCTGTCTTGCACCAGGTCTGAAAGTCGAGGTTACCCACTGCGGGCAGATGAAGAGGAAATACCGCGTGTGTAACGTTACCAGGCGGCCGGCCAGCCACCAGACGTAAGGCGGGTGGAAAGATGCCCTTGGAAAAATCTGAGCTGTTCTCCTTTTTAGCAGCTGCTGGTGTCGTTAGGGAGAGCTGGAGGGGAAACTGCAGCCTGCAGTGGCAAAAGGAGATGTGTTCGGTGCTCTGCAGCGGTTTTGGGCACAGCAGCTCGCGCAGCTCCGCGTCACGCGGGATGCAGGGGAGGGTGGGAGTGCAGAGGATGCTTTGTCTGGCAGGCGGCGCGCTGCAGTGGGCGGGAGCTAACACGCCAGGAATTGTCCTAGTTTTTACCTCTGAGTTTGGTTTTCTTCTTTCTTAAAATAGACACTGCCAAAGCAGGAGTTTTGTCAGGGGATAAAGCGATTCCCTGCCTTGAAATTATTTGTCTGTGCCTGGGAGCAGGCTGGGCCTCCATGTTGGGGGGCTGCCCTGCTCCCCGCAACCCCCCATGGATGGGGATGGCAGCACCGTGGAAGTGGTGCCCTCAGCACCAAGCTGTTGGGTGCCACAGCCCACGGGTGTTTCCAGGGCTCGTCACTGGGGTTTGCCCGGGGAATTGCCCCTGGGCAGGCTTGGAAGCAAAACGGGGTTCGCGGCAGAGGCTGGGGGGAAGAGCAGGCAGACCCCCCAGTGGTGGGACAGTGCTGGGGCAGGAGGGGCTCTACTTGTGCTCTCTGCTGGGTGCTCGGTGAGTGGAGCTGGAGGGGAGGGGGGGATGTTTTTCAGGCTGTCTGCCCCCCAAGTTTCTGCAATGTTGCTGGAAATTTGGCCAACAGTAAAAAAAAAAAAAACCAAGAAATTTTGGCTCGTGCTGTACAAACCCAAGTGCTGGCAGAAAATCTCTCCTCCCAGTTCTTGCCCAGTACCAAACCAGCAGTGCCCGCTCAGGCTGGCACTGTCAGGCTGCGGGGGCACCTCCCTCGGCACAGCAACGCGTCCTCGTCGCACAACCCCATCTCCGGGTGTATCTCGTTGGGGCTCATGCGCCTGTCACCGTGTACACCCCGCTTCCCCGGTGCTCCAGCATCCTTGGGTCCCAGCCCTCAGGCTTGGCGAGCGCAGGAGGAATGCGACGCCTCGCCAGGGCGCTCGGGCTGACTCGCCCATCTAATTTTGGCTTCATAAAGAATATTGGGTCAATTCTTCATTTTCACTGAGCTCTTTATGGAGCTGGGAACAGCTGGTGTTGGGTGAGGCTGGGTATCACGCTCCGGCTATGGGCGGCGCGGCACCCCTCAGTCCTGCGTTTGATTATTTTTTTTTTCCCCTGTGGTTTTGAAGGGAGATGCACCCCTCCGTTCCCCCATGCTCTGCCCGCTGTACCAGGAGAGGCTGGTTAACCTTTGCCTGGAGCTCAGCTCGGCTCCCAGGGAGGGCACCAAGCACAGAAGTCCTCCTGAGCAGCAGTGTGCTGTATTTATGTACCTGACAGTGGCATGCGTGGCATGTCCTGCAATAAACATTTGCCCTGATTAGCTGGATTAGTGAGGGAGAGCTTTATTTAGGGACCTGAGTCCCACACTGGGATCAGAGTATTCCTGACTCGATTTCTGAAAATACCACTGTTGTGCTTTTTATTTTCTTTTATGGTAGCTCAGAGTGGGAGCCTGGCAGTTCCCTCTCTTCCCAGACAGAGTAAGTAGTGCTTGAGGTCTGGAAGTGTCTGTTTTGAGTAGGTGCATCCTTCGTGTCCTGCCTCTGCCAGGTTTCCCCTGCAGCTGGAGAGCGGTCAGACAGTGGAGTGCACAGTGGCTCAGTACTTTAAGCAGAAATACAACCTGCAGCTGAAATACCCCCACCTACCCTGTCTCCAGGTTGGCCAGGAGCAGAAGCACACGTACCTGCCCTTGGAGGTGAGTGCCGGCTCTGCAGCATTGGGCGTCCTGGCTTTTGGGCACCGTGCAAAGCAAAGCCAAGTGGCCTTTGCTGGCAGATGCATGACAATATTCTGCAGCTAATGTGTCGTGGGCACTAGTTGCCTCAGTGTTGACCTGGCCAGAGCTGCTTCTAAGTGAGGGAGGAGACCATGCTGTAAAAATGCCATTTTCCTGCAGCTGCAGGCTCGGCACCTCTGTTTTGGGGCTGGCTGCAGTGCCATACCTGCAGGGCAGCTCAGCCGTGGTCCCCTGTGTGTCGCCTGTCCCTAACGCGTGGCTGCTGTCTCTCCTCTGCCGTGCAGGTGTGCAACATCGTGGCAGGCCAGCGGTGCATCAAGAAGCTCACAGACAATCAAACGTCAACCATGATAAAAGCAACAGCCAGGTCTGCCCCAGACAGGCAGGAGGAAATTAGTCGCCTGGTACGTGGCACGAGTCCCTGGGAGGGATGGTGTCGGGGCTGGGGCTCTGATGGCAGGCTACGTTGTCGGGGCTGTGATGAACCTTGTTGTGGTCCTGCTCCTCAGCTGCTGTGCACTGGAGAGCTGTGACTTGTTCAGAAGATGCTGGTGGGGTTCATGGCTTGGTTTTATCCCCCTCTTCTCAGTGAAGAGGTCAGGGTGTGCCTGCATGTGGGTAACGGACACTTGCATAGAGCAGCCCCGCTCAAAGTGACCGTGGAAACTCATGTGCAGCAAATTCAGGTCCTCGCGCTGATGGAACCTGACCCAAAGGGAGCTGGAACTAAAAACAGGAAAACAAATTGGAGAAATGACCCCAGCTTTGGGTGTACGTGGGGACTGTGCGTTGTGGGGCTGCGGTACGGGAGCTCTGTCTGCAGGTCAGCCTGGGGCGAGCCAGGGGAACGGCAAACCCGGCTCCACCAGCGTCCAGGCAAGTGCTGTTGCTACCCAAACGGATGTCTCTGGGCTTTCAAAGCTGGGGACATTTGATATTCCTTCTGGGACTCTTGATAAGAGTCTCTTGCCAGTCTCAACCTTCCCACTGAAGCTTTAAATCTCAGGAGCAGGTTCTGCTCTTGGTTGCGTTGGTCAGTGCATTCAAAAATCAGGTCTCCTGTGGGTCAGTTTGGAGGACAGCATTTGGCCCTTTGTGTTAAACCGCTTGCCATCCCCTTACGGCGAGGACTTCAGCTCTGTAGAGAACATGACTTTAGGCGCCTGTGTTTCCTGGCCAGCTGAAGCTGCGTGGGATGCAGCAGTTGGTCTTGCTCCCTCTCATGAACCCTTCCTTCCCTCTGCAGATGAAGAACGCCAGCTACAACCTGGATCCGTACATTCAGGAGTTTGGGATCAAGGTGAAAGATGACATGACGGAGGTGACAGGGAGGGTCCTGCCGGCGCCCATCCTGCAGTACGGAGGCAGGGTAAGCAGGGCTGCGCCGCCCGGGTCTTGGGCTGCGTGGTGCAGAGAGGTGCTTTCACACCAGGGAATGCTGTTGCTGAACAAAACTTGTGCTACCTTCAGGTTTGTAGGTTAGAGCTGGAATTTTTTATCAGAGCGCCTTGGGTTTGGGTTTTTTGGGTTTTTTTGCAATATAACTGTTCTGAAAGCGTAGCCAGGAGTCATTCAGTGACAAAAAAGTGAGCAGAAGGGGAGAGGGATGCTCAGGGTAAGGCAGCTCAGGTGAATTTTCCATCACCTTTGGAGGAGCTGAGATTCTGAATTGCCCATCGCCACGTGCCGCGGCAGACCCTGGGAGCTGGCTCCGGCGAGGGTGTACGGCTTTGTGATGGGGAGCACAACCACGGCACGTGCGGGTGCTCCCCAGGGGCTGCCGGCGTGGGGCCGGGCAGGACGCGGCAGCGCTCTGACCGTCTGTTTGCCTTGCAGAACCGGGCCATTGCAACTCCCAACCAAGGCGTGTGGGACATGCGAGGGAAGCAGTTCTACAACGGCATTGAGATCAAAGTCTGGGCGATTGCTTGCTTTGCCCCGCAGAAGCAGTGTCGAGAGGAGGTGCTGAAGTAAGGAAGGGGGCAGCCCGCGCGGGTGGGATGCCATGGGGAAGCTGTGGCTCGTGGTGCGGCCACCCTGCTGCTCCCAGCCTGGGTCTGCGCATCCTTCATCGTTAACACTGGATCTGAATTGCTCGTGGTACAAATTTGACCTGGGTTCAGACTGGGTGTTCAGTCTTGTTTCTGTTAGTTTATCCAGAGTGCCTGGCTGTTTATCCTGGCTGCAAACAGTCCCTAAGCCATCACAAAGCCTGCCAGGTTGGAGTGAGCACGTCAGCACTCCAGCACACGTGAGCTGACAGTCAGGCTCTTCTCGATCTGCGTTTTGCACCAGGTAGCTGCAGTATCGTGATCTGATACTGCCAGCCCTAAAGCTGCATTGAACTCTTCTCAGCTGAATCTCCTCAGAGAGGTGGGGTTGAGAGGGATATTTAATTAAAAGTGTCCCCGATTCCCTTTCTGAAATAATATAATTCATGTAGGAAGCATCCTAACTCGCCGTGGGTTTTTATTACAGGGAAGTCTTAGGCTTTCTGAAAAGCTTCGGTAGCTTAGAGATTCTCTGCTTTGGTAGCAAAGTGACACAGAGCGGGGACAGTTTATTTGATTTACGGAAACGGTCACCTTGGGTTTGGATTCTGCTGGGAACTCGCCTTTCTCCTGACCGAGGGTGGATGCATTGAGGCGAGCATTTTGTGTGCCTCTTCTGGGTGTTCGGCATGGTTAACATTTGGGATGGTTTGGAGCAGCTCAAAGTCTCTACGTCTGCAGTAACTGGGTGGAGGTGGGAGCGACACCGCACTCCTCTTGTGACCCTTTTGGGGCAGAGCTGGGAGCCCCACGCTCCCTCTGGCTCTCCCTGCATCAAATTTATCCTTGGCAATCCAAAAATCCAGAGTGTGGCTGAGCACTTTGTCCGGTTTGGTAAGTGAAGGCTTGCATCAGCTTTGCAAATCATCTGGAAATCAAGCAGGTCTGCTCCCCCCTTCTCCGGCTTTCTAACGGAGAATGGCTCGCAGCTCCATCGCTCTTCGGGAAGAGTCAGTACCTGGGCAAGAGGGTACCAAGAGGGGATGGTTCAGCTCTAATACGTGTTGGTCTTGCGTTTCCCGTGCTGTGCGCTTGCTGGATGCTGTAAAACCGTGGTGATGTGATGTCCCCGTCTCTGTCCTGTGCCGCAGCACTCGAGCCATGGGTCCCTTCTCGCTCGGTGGCTGGGGTGCACGGCGGAGCTGCCGTGCGGAAGGGCTCAGGGCTGAATCCTTCTCCTCCCGGGCACAGGAACTTTACGGACCAACTGCGCAAGATCTCCAAGGACGCAGGGATGCCGATCCAAGGCCAGCCCTGTTTCTGTAAATACGCCCAGGGTGCAGACAGTGTGGAGCCCATGTTTCGACACCTCAAGAACACCTATTCGGGGCTTCAGCTCATCATTGTCATCCTGCCAGGGAAAACGCCGGTGTATGGTGCGTCTGGGGCAGGGGCGAGCGGGGAAAGGAGAGGGGCTTTGCTCTCGCTCAGCAGGGCTGGCTCTGCTCCTCCTGCAGTGATTTCTCTCCCCGTTTCCGAGGATGCTGCTGGAAGCGGTGCGTTGCTGATTGCTGTCTGTTCACCTGCTTCCTCTGCCCGCAGCCGAGGTGAAGCGCGTTGGGGACACCCTCCTGGGAATGGCCACGCAGTGCGTCCAGGTCAAGAACGTGGTGAAAACCTCCCCGCAGACCCTTTCCAACCTCTGCCTCAAGATCAACGTCAAGCTTGGCGGGATCAACAACATCCTTGTGCCTCACCAGCGGTTCGTACGGCTGCTCCTTCTTGCATTTTTGGGCCTTGTTTCCCAAGTCCCTCATGGTGCTGCCTGCCTGGCTTTACCTGGGGAAGAGGGAGCCTGTGGGCAGCTGCATAAAGTAACTTTGAAACGGGGGTTTGCGGCTTGTCTCGCCTTGTAATGAGCTGTTGATGTGCCCAGGCCAGAGCCCAGAGTTTGGGAGATGTCCTCTGTGTGATCTGCTCACCTCCATTGGGCTGTGCATCAGCCTGAGATGGCCCTGAAAGGCTGACCGCTGCATTCTCTTCTCTCCCACCAGCTCTGCCGTCTTTCAGCAGCCGGTGATCTTCCTCGGGGCCGATGTCACTCACCCACCGGCAGGAGATGGGAAGAAACCCTCCATAACAGCTGTAAGTTCCCGGTCCAGGGCCAGGCTTGGTGCCTGAGAGCCCCGCGGGGACATGGGAACTGGAACGGGACTCGCGTGTCCATAAAGGGGCTGTGTCACTACTGTCCCCATAGTGACACTTCTCAGGGTGGCCCCATGCCCTGTCGGGTGTTTCAGTGCTGCTCCCGGGGTGATGGGTCCCCAGTCCCCTCCTGCTTCTTTGCAGAGGAGCTGTGGTTTTGGGGAGCCACTGGGCGAGCTGGCAGCTGCCAGCAGATGGGGCTCGTGTTGTGCTGGACCCCGCGAGCGCTGTCAGGGTGTGCGGGGAGCTCGGTGCACCCTGCTCTCCGGAGTCATCCCCGGCCATCCCGGTCCTGCAGTGCAGCCCTAGGAGGGACCTTCCCCAAGCGGGAGAGCTGGGGAGAACTGGGGTGACGGGGCTGCTTCAAAGCCTTTTGGGGACGAGGATTTCCCGTCACCCCATGTGAATAATGAGCATCCATCGAGTGAAGTGCCACTCACATGCTGGTGAGGCCGGGTGGCAGCTTGCGCCCTTCATGGGGCTCTAAGACGTTGCCTTGTGCTCGTTGCGGCGAAGGAGAGTGTCAGGTTCTCGTAGCGTCTGTTTTAATTAAGCACGTCAGCATTTTCCTATGAAGTTCTTAACTTTCCAGGACTCATAGCTCAGGTTTTCCTTGGCATGCAAGTGCATCTTTGGAGGAGTGTTTTTTTCTTAATTAGAAGGGGTTGGGAAATGCTTTTGGCTGTTTGCTGTAGGTGTGGGTGGGACAGAACAGTCTGTTTCCTGGCGGCGGCGCTTCCACTCTGAAAACATTTTCTGTGGTTTTTTGTACAGGACCACTGTGGGTTTTTTTTCTTAATTTCTATAAAAGCTTTTTTGAAGCTGCAGGGGAGGAGAAGGGTCGAGCCTTCAGATAGCCTTGATCTTGTCCTTGGTCCGTTGTTAATTAGACAATAGAAGGGGTCCATGGCTGAGGCCAAAAGAAACATTTCTGTTGAGCATATCGGCTCCGCTGGTGCAGCCCAGACCCTAGAGCTCCATTTGCGAAGCAAAAGTGAAACTGGCGCTGAGGGCAGGGGCAGCAGGCTCGATGCTGCTGAGGATGTGGGGTCTGCGGTGCTTTCCCTCCGCTCGGGGGGACGTGGACCGCGCGGTGCAGCAAAGCAGCCGGGCATTTGTCTCCCAGCATGGGCCAGCACCTGCTTTGATGCCCGTGACTCACGCTGCGCCCCCAGCCCTGCGTCACAGCAGAGCCCGGCTCCTCGCAGCCTCTTTGCCCTGACGTCTTTGAGGTCTCCCCTCCAGAGTGCCCAGCTGTGATGGGAACTCCGTGCCTGATGGCTGCTACGCGGTGACTCAACCCTGCCACGTCCTCGGGAGGCGGCAGTGCCGATGGGGCAGACCGCGGCCGTCTGGGGCAGCTGTGCTGCCTGCGGCCAAGCGAGGGTGGGCGCGGGGACGTGATGCTGGCAGATGCTGTGTGCAGATGTTGACCTGGTTCAGTCGCCTTTTGGGCAGAGGGTCTCTGGGCAGCCTGGGGCAGGCAGGGCAGGTCTGCCGCAGTCGGAGGGATGAGGAGCAGCTGATAGCAGAGCTCCCTGGTGTTGCTGTGATATAGACCCCAGCAGCAGCTGTTAAAGCAGTGGCATTGCAACTGCAGGTGGGGTTTTGTACCCTGTGGGTGTCAGTGCCCTGGTGAAACAGCAGAGCAGAGTTTGGGGTTACGCAGTCCTTCATGGAAGCCAAAAACCTCTGAAGTGAGGGATAGAGAAGGGCTTAGGCAGGCGGAAAGGGCAGCCCCGCTCCCCCCTCGCCCCTCTGCTTTTGGGCAGGAGGGGTGAAGCTGGGGCAGAGCAGCAACAGCCCCTACAGCCACGTCGCTCAGTGGCACCAGCCAGGTTGTCTCACTGGAAATTCCCATAAACACCACAAAGGGCACGGCAGAGTGAAACTGAGACATGGCCACGACCAGGGATGTCCTTTCTGGGCGCTAGTTGCCTGCACAGTATTTGCTGTCCCATCTTCTGAGCTCGGGTGCTCTGCCCACTGCCAGCTGTGGGTGTCGGAAGCAGGCGGAGGCTGGGAATGTCCCATGTCCCCTCCGTCCTTCTCGTTGTAACGCGTGGGCCTGGCCTGTCTCTGTCGCTGCAGGTTGTGGGCAGCATGGACGCCCACCCCAGCCGGTACTGCGCCACGGTGCGCGTGCAGCGTCCTCGCCAGGAAATCATCGAGGACTTGTCCTACATGGTGAGGGAGCTTCTCATCCAGTTCTACAAATCCACCCGCTTCAAACCCACCAGGATCATCTTCTACCGCGACGGCGTTCCCGAGGGGCAGCTCCCGCAGGTGAGGACCCCTCGGATCCCCATCAGGCAGCGGGGCTGCACCGGCTCCCACGGGGTTCCCTAAGGGTGCACAGGGACGGCTGGATGCTGGCGTGTCCCCTCACTCTGCGTGCTCTTGTCTCTCCAGATCCTTCACTATGAGCTCCTAGCGATCCGAGACGCCTGCATCAAACTGGAAAAGGATTACCAGCCTGGCATCACCTACATCGTTGTCCAGAAAAGGCATCACACCCGTCTCTTCTGTGCAGACAAGAACGAGAGGGTGAGTGCCGCAGGGTGCCAGGGCCAGAGGCAGCTGATTCATCTCTGGCCTTTAGGAAGAGCCAGCCCTGACTTTGCCGAGGGGAAAGCTCACTGCTGGCAGGCAGAGAGCTCTTTCTTGAACGAAACGTGCTGCTCGGTTGACTCCCGCATCCATGCAGATTAGGCTGCTTCTAGAAACCCAGACAGCTGTTTGCTGTTATTATTACTGGGTGCTGATGATCCTGGCGACTCTCTTGAAATAGCCTCTGTCAGCTTGAAAACATCTGTTGTTTTGGTGATAGCTGTAGCCGCTGACGTGACAGAATGAATAACCCCTTGCTTGCTCACAGCTTGTTCATGTGTGTTGTGCAGTAACATGGATTGCTGTAGCTTTTCCTGGATTTGATCTAAATTCAGTGGTTAGATCTAGTCTAACCAGACTCTGGCTCTATCTGAGCATGAAGATTTAATCTTGGGAACTAAGGACAGTTTTTGATCAGGGTGCAAAAGCTCCGGTATCTTGTGGCAGACTCTAGCTTACACTCTCCACAGAGATCCCTGGAGTTTTGCTCACTTAATCCTCATTTCTGCAGTAGGATGGGCCAGTGCCCAGCCCTCCCCCTGCCTGCTTTCCTTCTGATGCCATTTGCTCTATCTCCATGTCATGCCTGGTGTTGATGCTAGCAGAAAATGCCAGCAAGCCTGTTCGGGCAGGGAGCAGAGCAGGATAAGCTGCTCCTGACCCCCCTTAATGGGCACTTGGGGAGCAGCTCCGCACGGTGCTCTCAGACTAGGATGCTGAGATGGGGACCCTGCGCCATGGCCCTGGTGCAGGGCAGGTGTGTTACAGACGGTGCTCTGGGCAGCTGGAAATAACCACTCTCTGCAGTGCTTGGGTCTCTCTTTCTGTTCCCTGTAGATTGGGAAGAGGGAACATCCCAGCAGGAACAACAGTGGATACAAATATCACCCACCCCTTTGAGTTCGACTTCTACCTGTGCAGTCATGCAGGCATTCAGGTACCGCGCTGCGGAGCTGGCTGTTGTGATGCTGCTGGTTTTCTTCGGCTGTTGTGGCAGACTGTGCTCTTGTGCATCCGACCCGGCCCTGTCATAGCCTCCCTCTGGCACCGGGGACGTGGGCGGTTCGGTCCAAGCTGCCGTTGCGGCGGGTTGGCGAGCAGGTGCTGGGACGGCACTGCTGCTGCATTATGTGGCACGTACTCGATTTCTCTCCTGGAGCCAAGGATCTCTCTTATGAGATTTTCCTCCTTCAGAGTGGCCAATTCAGCAGCTTGTCAGCTGGCGTCTGAGCGTGCCGGGCTTGCTGGGGCGCCTGGTCGTCAGCAGGGACCTGTTGTCTGGCTGTGGGCGGGAGAGCTGGGGCCAGCCGTCCCTGGAGCAGGCGGCTTGATTTGCAGCTGCCTTTCTTCAGGCAGCCAAGATTAGTCAGAAACCGTACTGAAAAATTTGCGCTCATTTAATCCACAGCTGCTTCCGCAAGGGAGGTTTTTTGGCTTCCTCTCTGCCTGCAAGAACAGCGGGGAGCTGGCCCAGTTCGGTGGGGAGCCGGTGCGATACGTGATGCAGTGGGCTGTGCGGCGTCGGGAGCTGGGGGCGGCAGCGCAGAAGCACCGGCAGTGCCTGGGCACGGGGCAGCTGCGTTAATGGTTTGCACCTCGGTGCTAAGAGCTTTCCTGTCTCGCGGTGCCTGTGCACGTGTGGGGTTCTCAAATTAGGGAAGCATGGGCATTTCTCCTACCCAGGCTGTCTGCCAGGTCGTTCTGATCAGGGAGGGGGTGATGAGGATGCAAGGCAGCTGCCTGCGTGTGGGTGCAGGCAGCACCTCTCACGCTGCCCCCCCTCCTTCCCAGGGTACGAGCCGGCCGTCCCATTACTATGTACTCTGGGATGACAACCGGTTCACCGCGGATGAGCTGCAGATCCTCACGTACCAGCTGTGCCATACCTACGTGCGCTGCACCCGCTCAGTCTCCATCCCGGCCCCGGCGTACTATGCCCGACTGGTGGCGTTCCGAGCACGGTACCATCTCGTGGACAAGGAGCACGACAGGTGAGGGGGCTCTGCCCGTGGGCGCGGGAGGGCAGGCCCCAGGGATGGGCAGGGGACGCGAGCACCCTGCCTCGGTGTTTGAAAGTGCCTCTGTCACAGCAGCGCTGCAGCAGACCCTTTTTGGGGGGAAGACCGGCACGTAGCTGCATGCTCTTAGGTGCCGGCCTAGGAGGAAGAGGGGGAAAAGGAGGGTTAAATCCCATCCTGAGCTCATCCCGGGTCTGGAGGAGCATCCCTGGAGTGTTTGAGCATTGCCAGCCACCTCGAGGTGCCGGAATGTCTGCGGTGCCAGGCACGGTCACCGGCACGCACGGCATCCGTACGCTGCGGTGAGATGCCTTCCTGTGCTGCCAGCGCTCGTGGACCCTGATCTCCAAGGGGGTTTCTCAGTGTTCCTGCGGGGGGGAATATGAAATAATTATGCAGTGATTTCCTTGATTTTCAGTGGCGAGGGCAGCCATATATCTGGACAGAGCAACGGCAGAGACCCCCAGGCCTTGGCGAAGGCTGTGCAGGTTCATCAGGACACTTTACGTACCATGTACTTTGCTTGAAAGCCTAACTTTTGTTACCTCACTCAAGAAAGCTTTCAGATTTGTAGGAGCCATACAAAAAAGGAAGCATTGGGACACCTTGGTTTTTTTCCAATGAGAAATCACTGCAGGGCAGGCAGCGTCGATCCGAGGCAGGAGACCAGCACCACGGGACAGAAAGATCCAACACCTTTGTAGGATTGGAAGAGACCGATGATTATTTTTTTAATTTTTCTGGCTTTGCAAAATTTTGACCTGACCAAACACATGAAGGCATTCAAGGAAGGGATAAAACTCCCAGGAGGCGGAAGCAGGTTTTCATTTTTAAGATGCAATACTATAGACTCCTGACTGTGAAATGGCGGATTTGGTCCTCCGTTGCCCACCAGGCGCTGGTAGGTATTTTTTGTGGGGGTTGGGGGGAGGGGATTTTTAGAGCCTTAAAACAGAAGACTAGATTTATAAAACTAATATTTTAGAATATGAGATGCTTTAATGGGTTAAGGGGAAAAACAACTAGTTTATAGGAGAATTCTAACACTAACAGTTCCCCACCCCCGAATAATTCCCCCCGTATAATGTAAGGCACCCTAGCACTTAGCTCAGAACTGAAAACTGTCTTCCTTGTGTTAAAAGCTAGTTAGCTGCTGCCATTTGAAGCAACAGTCACAGACTTTTCCATGGGTGAGTGCCTTACTATGATGCTGCAAAATTTCAATGTTTTTAATCTTGTAAGGAAAACAGTAATCTTGTCTTGATGGTGGTCCATATTTCCATCGGAAGGAGTTAATTTCTATGGTCCTAAGTTGCAGTTTGTGTTAGATCACGACCTCATGGTGGTTAAACTCCATTGAAAGATGTGCACTTTCATATAGGACACGTTTAATGGCTGCTGACCCATTTTTGTTTCCAATGTACTACTTGTTATTTAAAACTGTTTCTGACAAATGGGGGCATCTTCATCCCATGAGGACAGAAATCGCTATCGATTTTTCTTTTTTTTTTTTTTTTTTTCCTGAATTTTTATGATGGACACCGGGATTTTTTTACTAAACATTATTTTTATATGATACCGAGTCTGTTGCCAAAATACACAAGTCATTAACATTCTCAGAGTTTACATCACCGCACTTCCTGAGGCTGTGTGCTCACACCAGAGTTTTCTAACGTTTCCTGTCCGATGAGTGTTACCGACCGCAGTCCGTGCAGCGCCGGTACTCCTCAGCGCCCGTCTCCCGTGTGCGTTCAGCACATCTCTGCCCAGGTCGGCTGCTTTCTGAAGTACCGCGTACCCCAACTCCAGCACCTCCAAACTGTCACCCTCTCTGCTGCTAGGTTTTGCTGCTCTTTGTGTCATGGTATCGCTGATCTCATGCACAGGGTTTTTTATTCTGAAAGCACACCAGATTTGTTCCTTAGTCAGAATGATGAAATCCTTGTTATTGTCATAGGGGAAACTCCTACTGATTTGTTTGTAACAGGAAAAAAGTGTTTTTCCCAACAGTAACATAGTGACTGCTTTTCAGACTCATTTTGCTGCACAGAATGACCGTTACGCACAGCAGGGCAGTAGTAGCAACTCATTACCAATACCATGTGGGCAGATGATCTGTTTTTGCTTTTGTTTGTTTTTTTTTTTTTTTTATATGAAAGTGTGCACAGCGCTTCCTTCAAGAGAAAAAATGACACGCACACTCCTACCGAGCTCTTAAAGGGAAGAGCTGTTGTCATTTTACTGCCAAACGTGAACGCATTTCCAAGGCAGATCCACCACAAGCACTGCCCCGTGTCAGTACGCGTGGATAGAAGCACACCTTTTTGTTTTGTACTTTCTGACGTTTAAACTTGCCTTGCCTTCATGAAAACCACATTGGTCATGTTGGCCCATTGATCTGTCCCAACACCGGGAATTCACTCTTACCCGTTTTCTTTTTGGGCAACGTGTTTGTGAAAAATGAAGACATCAATATGCTATGCAAACTAAGTGCTGAGCCCACTGATGTCACGTTTTTGTGAAGATCCTTCATTTAGCACAGTCCTGTTTTTCCTCAAGACTACAGTATTTGGTTCGTGTTCTCCTTTGCACCTTGTGTCAACCTCCACTGCTGTGTATCTGCAAGGTGACGGGGAGGAGACCAGGAACTATTCATGGTCAGTAGGGTAGCGAACTCTTAGGAAGGCTTTTAGAGAGTAGGGAATGCATCAACACTAAGCGTCAACATGAGAAGCCTACATTCCTATACACAAGTGCCTGCATAGTGACACAAATTCAGCACCTCTCCATCTCATCCTCCGAACTCTGGCTTGTGTTCATTGAAAGCGAAGTGATCTCGGAGGGGCTGTACCCGCTCACCTTGTGGTAGAAAGCCCCTCGTTAAGAATAAAACCGGGGTTAAGGTCAAGGTTCTCTCTGCAAATCAGTTTGTTCACCAGCATTACAACGGAAAGCACCTGGCTGCTGTTCTGCAGCGAGGGGCAAAGGTATTTTGGTTTCTAGTTTTTATTTTAGTGTTTTAGTTGGGTCTAGAATTCTGAAATGTCTTTTAGTAGCTGTGGCATAGCACGTGCCATTTTTAACCATTTGAAAAGAGATAGTGTGGGCATTTACAGAAACAGCTTGTTGCTCTGTAACAATTTTTTTTAACCTTGAGACTTGAAATGTAAAATGGACCTTTAAGATTTGCACTCATTTGTAAGGTGGCTGTTCATAGAAAACTATGAATGAAGACTTGCTGATGTAGCACCTACTTTTAACAGCAATTTTACCTACACAAAAGCTTCACAGCTTCTGAAACTCTCAGCTGTTGATTGCAGATCGTGTTCTGCCCTTATTTCACCCTCTGCGTTGGGTTTTCATGGTTTTGAATAAATAAAAAAGCCAAACTCAGTAGCTGCTGTGCCCTTTAAACCCTGTTTCCATTTTGAAGACATTTAGAAGGGGTTTGAGTTACCCGCATGTTTTGTATAATGGACTATGCACTGTACCTTCTACGCAGCTCCAGCATTCAGCATTTCTACCCTTTTCTTGTCCGAGATGCAAACGAATAACTAACTGCATGTTGAGGTGCTGTGCATTTTGCTACCCATAGCGGATAGGTGTTAACCCAGATACATATCGGGATTTGTAGTTAGCCACAAACCCCACACGGACATCCCGAATGGCTCCCGAGTCTCTGCCTTCTCCATCCGCACGTGTTCCTTCTGCAACTGGAACCATCGCCAGGTGCACGCAGTTTTGTGGGAAGAGGAGTAACTTTCATTTACCTGTCGGTTGTTGAATGCTGTTTGTTTCTCTTATCTCCTATCTGAACGTAACGGGGGCGAGGGGGCAGAGCAGCCCTCTCCCCAGAGCTTCCAGGGGCGGTCGGGGTGTTCTGGTATTCGCAAGCGTACGACCTGATGTCTTAGCGTCAAAAAGCCCAAGCATTCAACGTTGCCTCGCGGAAGGTTTTCTTCTTGGAAAATTAGCGGGAAATAAAAGAATGTGATTCTTTCGGGAAGGGAAGCCAGACAGCAGGACAGCAATAAACAAGTGAAATTCATATCTTGCCTGAGTGATTTGCACTTCAATAGTTGTGAAAGAAAATTTATGGGACTCCAGTGCTTTTGTGTTCAATTTCTAGCCCCTTTCGTACCTCCTTTATATGAGCAAGTGTTGAACTGTACAGAGGGTGTTTACAAGACACTCTGTTTGGGTTATTTTTCTTGTGTTTTGGTTTTGTTTTTTTTTTTTTTTTTGCTTTAGCTTGAACTCTGTATGGTCCATTTGTTAAATAGACGTGAACAGTTGATGTACAGTACTTACTAAACAAGCAGCAGCACAAAACTTATTTTATTAAGAAAATATGGCTTATATTTTAAAGGTTGAATATCAATTTTTTTTTTTTTTGTATGCGTGGAATTAAGACTGGTAAAGAGTAACAAAATCCTTGGATTAGGCCAAAAGAAAATACTGTAAGATCATAACCACCTCTTCATTAAAGAAAACGGTATGATTAAAGAGCTCCAGAACATTGTATTTATATTTGATTTGATTTGATTGCCTTTGTGGATTTTTTTTTTTTTAATTTTTATTTTTTTGCCTCGGTCCTGATTTTTGCTTGCAACTTTGACTTTGCAGTCCCAAGTGTCTGTTACCCTGTAACTGTTGGCAGAAGACCTAAATAAAAGCAATGTGAATGCGTTGGGGTGACACTCCTGAGTCAGATTGCGCGGGGAAGGTGCATGCGCAGTCCTGGCCGTTCGCTCGAGAAGGGCTGGGGGACAACCAGGGAAATGCTGACTGCAGCTGAATTGCATCAGATGCTGTGGAGGATCCAAACCCCCTCACTTTCCAGATTTCAGTTTAATGAGAGAAACACTTAAGCGAAGAAATAGGTGCTTAAAATTTCTTTGAATATGGTAGCCAATTCCACTTTTTATTAAAATGTCGTCTGTCTGAGAACTGACTTCATTTGAGTTCCTTGGGTTAGTGGATGTTGGAAGCGCGCGTCAAAATGGGCTGCTTCTCCGGCTACGTTGCGTGCTGTGGGGGCTATAAAAGGCCGGTGGCTCCAAGGTGCTTTAAGGACAGATTTCAGGCTCCTTTTGGAGCGGGGTTAAACTCGATCCTCTGGGTTTCTGTACTGCGTCGTGTGTTACCTTTCCCAGCTTTGGAATTCCTTGTAAACGTCCTAGCCCTCTCCAATGCCAACAGCTTATGGTCGCGTCTTAGGGTCCAACACTGGAGGTTGGTTGCCATCCTCTGAATTCTTTGGATCTGCTTGTGTTTTACCTTGCAAACGTGTATTGCCGTACCTTTAGACGACGAATTATTTAGCAGTCGAGCTGTAACTGTGGGTTTTTGAATAATGCTAAGCAATTTTAAGGAAGTGCTTGCTAATGGAACACACGTACTCACTAGCTAATTTACTTGAACTGTAGCATGCAGAATGTGTTACACTGAACTGAGCACCTACAGATCCTGCACACGTCCTCCTACTGTTTTTAATGTTGTATCTGCTTTACATCCTACTGTATAGCCGAAATCTTCCGCGGTTTCAAGGGGACTGTTTCTGGGAGAGAGAGATATAACAGAAAATTGTGCCTTGTGCAGCCGGGTCTGAAGTCCTGGAAAACAGATCAGAGTCCTTGGTTTCAAATGTTAGATTGGCATTTGAGCCCTGGCCCTTGGTTCTGATTACAGCGTCCTCAGCTGCAGAAACAGAAGGGCTTGCATGCCTCTAAAGTAGGTGCATTCTGCAGAGATGTCTCCCTCCGCCATATCTGCTTGATCTTGGTGATCACATTTCCCCTTCCCTCTCAGAATTTCAGCTAAGGAAATATTCTAGTGGTTACTTTTAATTTGCATGGGTTTAGAATCCTTACTGTGTAGCTTACCTGATAACTAAATTTACACTTTTTAAGACTAATTTAGCTGGCAGTCTCCAGGACGGCTGTTCTTAATAATGATTGTGAAACCTGGATTATGAATCTCAAACTCCTCGTCTGCTGGCCCAAAGTTCCAGTTCTTC